CGCCTACCAGCTCTCGGTCGTCGCAACGGTCGCCTCGCGCGTACAGATCCGCGACTACGAGTCCGAGCGCCTCCACCGCGACCCCGCCGCCAAGCGCATCGCACCCACCTTTACCTCGCTCCGCGTCGCCTCGCGCACCATCTCCAAGCGCAGGCCCAACGCACACCGCGAGCTGCGCCCGCCCAGCGTATCGTGGTCCAACGAGGTACTCACCGCACAGAAGGCGGCATTCGCCTCGCTCCAAAAATCTACCGCCTTCCCCAAGGCCGGTCACATCAACGACGAGGTGCTCGACTTTGCCGACGAGATGGTCAAGGCGTGGGAGATCAACGGCGAGATGGGCGGCGAGCAGGCCGACGACGTGGCCGAGATCCTGTATGGACTGGTGGAGCTGACGTTCCACTCGCAGCGCATCGCGCGCTACCTTGTGCGTCTGCTCTTTGCCGCCGAGAGCCACGACGAGGCCAAGCGTGCGCTTCAAGCCTACGCCACGATCGCCGACAAGGCGAGGGAGGCAGAGCAGAGCGCCAAGGCCAACGCCGCGGGCGACAGCAAGGACGAGGACGCATCAGCCACCAATGGCGATGCTGCGGAACAGGCCCATACCAACGGAGATGCGGCCGAGGTGACTTCGGCCAAGGACTTTGACAGCGACGAGGTGTACGCCAACACGCTGGCCCAGGGCGCCTACCTTGTAGGCCGCTACTGCAACGATTTCGCGCTCGCCGACAAGATGGCGAGCAAGGCGCTGGCGGTGGTGCAGGAAGGCGCCGGCAAGTTCAAGCCGGCGTTTGAGCGCAATACGCTGCTGCTGGCGCGCCTGAAGCGCATCAATGGCTACGCCAAGGCTGGGCTCGCCATCCAGATGGCCGATCCGGTTCGCCGGCCCATGCTGCAGTCCGAGGCACTCGGCGAGCTCACCGCCGCGGTGCAGCTGGACGACCAGTCGAGCGAGGCGCACTACCAGCTGGCGTACCTGCAGGCCGAGATGCGCGACGTGCACGCTGCGCTCCAGTCGGCGCGCAAGGCGGTCGAGCTCGAGCCGGCGGACGTCGAGTCGTGGCATCTGCTCGTACTGCTGCTGTCTGCGCAGAAAAAGTACAAGGACGCGCTCAAGATTGCCGAGGTGGCGCTCAACGAGTGCGACAACGACGAACGGGGCGCTACGCAGGGCAACAGCAGCGGCTCGTCGCCCGCCAACTTTGCCGCGACGCAGCTGCTGAGCGTCGACTTTGCGCCGAGGCCGCTGGAGCGCAACGAGTCGATCCTCAAGCTCATGATGACGTACAATGCGCTTGAAGAACTCACCGACGGGGTGGAGAGCGCGATTGCGGGGCAGAAGGAGCTCTTCTCCTACTTCCACCGCGTCTTTCCGTATGCAGCTGCTGCGGCGTCGGCAGCAGGCGGCGCGGCTGGCGCAGGTGGCGGCGTGGAACACCCGCGCGTGTCCAAGGATCTCAGCGGGCTCCGACGGTACGGCTCGCTCGCTGCTGTTGGTGGCGGGCAGGGCAGCAACGACACGGTGTTGGGCCGCTCGCACACGACGTCGAGCCGCGTGCGATCGTATGCGCAGCGCTCGGTGAGCGCCGCGGCAGGAGCTAATGGATTGTCGTCGGGCGGCGGATCGACGCTGCTGCCCGGCATGCAGCTAGGAGGGCTGGACGAGGACCTGTCGCGCTCGGGCGCCGAGAGGACGATCGAGCACCTCAAGAGGCAGTCGCTGGCGCTGGCCAAGATCTGGCTGGCGTCCGCGGCGAGCTTCCGGCGTGCGGGCCAGCTCAAGGAGAGCCGGGCGGCGATCCAGGAGGCGGAGCGGCTGCAGCCTGGCTTGGCCGAGGTGTGGGTGCAGCTGTCACTGTACTTTGCGAGCAGCCAGCAGACGCGGCTGGCGGTCGAGTCGCTGTACAAGGCGCTGGCGTGTTCGGCGGGCGATGTGGCGGCGTCGGTGCATCTGGCGAGGATGTTCCTTGCGGATCCGGAGCTCAAGCCCAAGCGCGAGGGTGCAGATGCTGTGGCTGCCACGCCGGGCCCCAAGGGGCAGTACGAGTCGACGGCCGAGGCGACGCTGAGCGCCAGGGCGCAGGACCTGTCGTCGGTGAGTCTGGCAGAGGGACTGCTGACGACGACGACCAAGGGTGCCGGCTGGGACTCGAGCGAGGCCTGGCTGTTCTTGGGCCAGGCGGTGCAGAGGAGCGAGCGCAAGCAGCGGGCAAGAGAGTGCTTCGAGTATGCGCTGCAGCTCGAAAACACCAAGCCCATCAGGCCGCTCGCGGCGGCTCTGCTGCGTTAGAGCCAGCAAATGCATGCAGACGCGCTAATCACACTGGCACAGCAACCGGCTGTGCACATCATACCGTTGAATCAGAAAGATGCTGTCGCGCTTATCATCGTGTATTGCCAGTAGCAGAGGCGCGAGTGCGAGTGCGAGTATGAGCGTACGAGTGAGGATGAGGGTGAGGGTGAGGGTGAGGGTGAGGGTGAGGGTGAGGGTGAGGGTGAGGGTGAGGGTGAGGGTGAGGGTGAGGGTGAGGGTGAGGGTGAGGGTGAGGGTGAG